ATGAGTTAATTTTTCAAAAATTGCAGAGTTTAATGCAAATATCTGAACACCCTTGCAATGAAAGTTCATCAACTTTTCTCACTGGCTTTCCTGAATCCATCTGGGATTGTTTCCAGCTGCACTGACCAAATTTTCAAAAGTGTTCTGAGGTTGCATCACATCGGACTCTAAATGTTACCTCTGTTTCTCTCTCCACAAATGCTGCCAGACCTGCTGAGTTTCTCCAGCATTCTCTGTGTTGGTTTCAAAAGTCAATATCAGGACATGTTAGGAAGGTGGGAAGGTATCTGTGGTGATTGACATGTTGTGTTGTCAGGAGTCTGGGTAGAGGAACAATTGCAGGTGGGAGGTTTCTTGATGATATCTCCTGGATTACGCCCAGCCAGAATTGGCAACATTATTCTGTGCCTCATTTAATACGTACTATCAGAGCTGTTACATGCAATGCAAATGTGATGTGATGAATATTTACAGGATGGAACTTCATGCAAATAATCTACCCCTTCCACACACCAGACCCAATTTACATTTGACAAAAAAAAGGAGAAAGGTGAAGGCCAGAACATTGAACTATATCAAAAAACAGAAAGTGCTGGAGAAACTTAGCAAGTCTGGCAGCATCTGTGGAGAGAGAGACAGAGTTAACGTTTCGAGTCTGATATGTTTTAGATCTTATGCATCTGCAGTTCTTTGTTTTATTTTGGCATTTGAACCATTTTTTGGGAAATCGTCATGACACCAGGAAGTTGCTGAGACACAGACAAAACCAGGATGTCTAATGATCCTAGTGACAAGACGTTACCCACTCCTCTATTGAAAGCAAAATATCGCAGATGCTGGAAATCTGAAATAAAACAAAAAGCACTGGTGAAACTCTGGCAACATCTATGGAGGGAGAGGCAGAATTAACGTTTCAAGTCCAGTCTGATTCTTCTTCAGAACATGCACGTACCTCTGTCTGTCCCAGATCTGAGTCGCCCATTACCACATCTCCCGTGCTGGAAAGGCTGTTAAAAGTTAGGAAACGAGATGCAAAGGGTATGCGTCCAGTCTTCAGAACAGTTAAAATGATGGGATAGACTCGAGAGGCTGAATGGCCTATTTGTGGCCTCATGCTCCTTGAAGTAATTGCTTTGGGATTCCTTTTCAGGAATAATTGGCACCTTTTAAAATCAGCTTTGGCAGTAGGGAAAGAAATGGAACTCACCACACCTACTTGCAAAATCAACGGGGTTAGAGTTTAGCTTTAACATGTCTCTCACTCAGTCTTACTGTGTTTGATCTTGTTCTGTTAAATAAAACTCCTGTTCTCTATGTGATTTCTTGGTCAGGAGATTTTCTCGTCGAGATCCTGTTTGTCGGGTCTGGCAGCTTTTATCTACATTTTGAAAGAGGAATTGTATCAGTGACTCAGTGGTTTGTAAGATAAACAATATTAACCTTCTGACATAAAAGTAATGTAAAGATTCTACTTATTTTCTGAGCTGATGCAATATCTGTTTAGTTTCATTTTATTCCTGTTCATCGTCTCCCTTACATCTCTGGTTGTTCAGCTCCATGGCTAGTCGCAACCCTCCCTTGTTGCACCCCAACCCCTCCCAGCAAGTGACCATGTGTAAGCTTGCTAGCAGGCTATTGAACTGTAAGTGGCTTCACTGCAAACCTTGATCCTACTCTCATGCACCATCTTCAATTCCACCTGTAATGGACAATCTAGCCATTTGTAACTCAGGGGCACTGAGACCTAATGTTATTCCCACCACTAATGCAGGCCTGACTCTCCTGGGATCTTCCTGCTCTTTATGGTTCAACAATTATTTGAACTCATACCTTTAATGGCCTGAGACTGGGATGGATTTTAAAACATACACTAACTCAAAGACTGAGACATTAGGATTGCTCAAAGACAGGTGTCTTAAAGAAGAAAGAGAGACGATCAGTGTGTTACAATATGCCTTTAAGAGCTATGGTTACATTTCCAACATACAGAAATTGCATGGCACTTTATGACACACCTGTGACACAGCAATACTCTGGAAACAGAGCAACGCCTCTTAAAGGTGTACTGCAACAGAAAAGCAGAGAGTTTGGCGAGAGAATTTGAGAGCTGAAGGCAAAGACAGCTAATGAGAAGATCACCAAGAATGGAGTGAAGGAAGGGGGAGATGCTGAAGGGGTCTGGGGGAGGCAGGATAGTGTGGTGAAGAAGTGAAAGGTTGTGAGATGGAAGGGATATGGGGTAGTGGTTGTCGAGACAGGGAGGAGAAAACCAATTGATTTGAAGACGAGCTTGAGATGGTGGGAAATAAGTTCTATAAAAGTAAAGTACTGTGGATGCTGGAGATCTGAAATAAAAAACAAAACTGCTGGATGGCAGCATCTGCAGAGAAAGAAAGAGATAACATTTCGGGACCATTATGACTTTTCTTTCAAACCAGATTTGTTTGTTACTTTAAAATTGTTTTATGCAGATTTTACCTCTGTTCCTCCTTGTTCTGGGCTTGGATTAATTGTCAAGACACAACCAACCCTGTTGTATGAATGCCTATTTCTAGGCAGTAACAATATCTTGCATTTATGTAGTGCCTTTGATGTAGCCCCCAGAGTACTTTGCAGGAAGGTTATCAGAGAGATGCTGACATGGAGCTTCAATAGGAGATAGCAGGGTCAAGCCTAGGTGTCTGAGCAGGTGTCTAAGGATAATCTCAAAGGTGGAACAAGAGATGGAGAGTCAGATAGATTTTGAGAAGTAATTCCAAAGCTTTGGATTTTTTCCACAGTATTAGGCTGTCATGGGTTACATCAACATTTATTAACCAGACTGGGCCAGTTAAGCGTCATTGCTGTGGGTCTGGAGTCACATGTAGGCCAGACTGGGTAAGGATGGCAGATTTGCTTCCCTAAAGGATATTTGTGAACCAAATGGGTTTTTCCAACAAGCAACAATGGTCATCATGAGACTCTTAATTCCAGATTTTTACTGAATTCAAATTCCACCATCCCCAGAACATTACCTGGGTCTCTGTATTAACAGCCCAGTGATAATACCACTAGGCCATCACCTGCCCTATAGGCAGCTAAAGGCTTTTAGATCCATTGTCTCCCAGTTGTACCTGGCATAAACATCCATTGATGTCAATGCTAACAAATATCTCAGAGTGAGTATATAGGTGGCACATCTGGTACCACCCACTTTGGTTTTAATTGTTATCCCAAATATTTCTCAGAAGCCACAAAAACCACTTCCTCATTCCCTTCCTCCTCCAGATGTGATGATTTCCCCTGAAACACCATACCTCACCCCTGCCTCCCCCCACAGAGGAGACGGTGGTGTCATCGTAATGCTACTGGACTAGAATCCAGAGGCCCAGGCTAAATGATCTGGGGAGGTAGGTTTTAGTTGCACTATGAAGTTTGAATACAGATAATGAATCTAGAATTGAAAGCTAGTAAAACTCCATCTGGTTCACTATTGCCCTTTAAGGGGTTACAGCTGGCCTAAATAGCCTGGATCTTGAGTGTTACGGCTCCTGCTGTTCTGGGAGTGGGGCCTCAGTCAGCAGCACTCCTGGGGCCTGTGATTTCTATCCCTGCCACATATATGTGACTCCGGACCCACAACAATGTTAAGTGGCTGTTTTTTGAGGTTGCTTAGCAAGGTCCTCAGTTTGTGGGCAATTAGGGATGGGCAACGGATTCTCACATTGTCCATATCTTGCATTCATTCATGGGATGCTGGCTGAGCCCATATTTATTTCCCGTCCCTAGCTGCCCTTGAGAAGGTGATGGTGAGCTACCGTCTTGAACCACTGTAGGTTGACTCACAATTCCCTTTGGGCGGGAATTCTAGGATTTGAACTCAGTTGCGCTGAGGGAATGGAAATATATTTCCAAGCCAGGATGGTGAGTGGCTTGGTGGGGAACTTGCAGGGGGTGATATTTCCATGTATCTGCTGCCCCAGTGCTTCTAAATGCTTGCGGTAATGGGTTTGGAAGATGCTGTGTAAAGGGGCCTTAGTGAATTTCTGCCATGTATCTTGTAGATAGTACACACTGCTGTGGCTGAGCATCAGCGGTGGAGGGAGTGAACACTTGTGGATGTGGTGCCAATCAAATGGGCTGCTTTGTCCTGGACACTGTCAAGGTCCTTGCATATTACTGGCATATAATTGGTTAGTTGCCACTCTTCATCCCAATACTGTCTGGGTCTTGCTGCAGTTGGAAATGATACTGCTTCAGTATGTGAGGATTCGTGAATGGCGCTGAACATTGTGCAATCATCACTGAACATCCCCATTTCTGACCTTGTGATGGAGAGAAGGTCATTGAAGACGCAACTGAAGATAGTTTGTCGTGGGTAGTACCCTGAGCCAGGAGGGTTAGGGTTGGGGGTTCAAGTCCCACCTGCTCCTGAGGTATGCAGCAACATTGCTGAACGCATTGATTAGAAAATAAAAACAGAAATCACTGGAAAAGTTCAACAGGTCTGGCAGCAGCCATGAAGAGAAATCAGAGTTAACCTTTTGGGTCCAGTCACTCCACCTGAAACGTTACCTCTGATTTCTCTCCACAGATGCTGCCAGACCTGCTGAGATTTTCCAGCAATTTCACTTTTTGTTTCTGATTTACATCATCCGCAGTTCTTTTGGGTTTTAATCAGAACATATCTACCCTGAGGAACTCCTGCAGAGATTTCCTGGAGCTGAGAATGGACTGACCTCCCAACAGCCACTTGTGTGCCAGGCATGACTGCAATGAGTGGAGAATTTCCCCCCGATTCCCATTGTCTGCTCGGGCTCCTAAAGACCACAACAGTGGATGGGGGTGATACAGAGATTCAAAGGCTACCTTTTAAGGAGGCTGCTTTAACGTAGGTTGTGATTGGTTCGGGGGTGGAGGGGGGAGATGTTTCCAAAGCGCAGCGACAGACGGCCGTCGCTATCTCCCTTAAGAGACATCCAAAGCGAGCAAGTTGCGACTGGAGCGGGTGGTTGGGCACATTTCTGCGTTGCTCTCTCCGCGTTTATTCCCCAGTCGGTAACCGGAGGAGTTGCAGGGGAAGTGGGACACGGGAAAGTGGCTGAGGTACCGTTTCTCCATCCTCCCGACCTGTACCCCCTTTCCCTCCTCCCTAGGACCGGAACATTGACTCCCATCAGCACCGCCAGCTTGGTTTTGTTTTCAAAAAATCTCTGACAACATTTCTGGAGCCGGAGCAGCTGGAAATGGCTAACTCCAGAGAGTCCCCGCCCAGAAGGCAAGTATATGGGAGAGAAACAAAATAATTGAAGTTTTCTGCCTTCAGTAAAGCCTCGCCTCAGTCGCCACTGTCAAAGTGAAGTTGTTTGCAAATATTTGTTTCGACTCAACAACAGATTTTCAGATTTCTGTTGGAACACAATTGTATGGAGAGATGCAAACGTGGCACTTTAATCAGCAGAATGGAAATATATTTAAATAGATATCTTCAAAGGAGAACGGGGTCTTGGCTAAACCATTTGGCATGACTGTCCTGTTCTATCCTGCTGGGGTTACCAATTGCTACATGCCCCCCTCCCCCTTTGAAAGGCTGATGCAGCAGTTCTTATGTACAACAGGTGTAAGGTAATGTCGCCATTGTCTTAGAGAACCATAGGGCTGCTCTCTTATTAGAGCGAGAGGGAGAGGATTGGTGTTGAGGCTAACCTGAGGTCACTACTGGTGTCTGAACCACTGAACCACTGCAGAAAGTTATTCGGAATGCATTCCATGGCCCTTTTTGAGTGTGGGTTCTTTGACAGGGTACATGCAGCGAGGTTGTCACCCCTCATGGGAGAGGGCAAAATTTCAGAATAAAGGGTCACCCCTTTTAAGATCAGAGATGAGGGTTGTGAATCTGTGGAATTCTTTTACCACAGAAAGCTGTAGAGGCTGGGCTGTCAAGTACATTCAACGCTGAGAGTGATGGCTATTTAATCAGTAAGGGAATCAAGGGTTGTTGTGGGGGGGAGGGTGGCGCAGGGGAAGGCTGGAAAGTGGACTGCTTCGGTATCCGAGAATGGCGGACAGGCTCAATGGGCCGAATGGCCTAATTATGTTTCTGTGTCTTCATGTGGGGCGGGGGATGATTTAATTTGTTCCTACTTTCTAACCCCTCCCTCCCAGTTGTTATCAGGATGGCAGCAGGTGAAATTGGTCCATGTGGCAGGCTTGCATTCATATATAGGGAATTGACATCCGTTGGGACTTCACAAGAATGCAATAAGACAGCCTGGGACTGACATTGGATGGTGTTGGTGTGTTACCGTTCACTTGGGGAGGGATGGTTCCAGCGGTGACAGGCACGTTGCAGCTTGGACCTACAGACAGCAATGGAAGAGACACCAATTTCTTCACATCACAGGATCAACCGGGAATCTCTCTGGCTGTTACTGCTCGCCGTTGGCACACATCAAAAGGATTTGCAGCTTGATAACCGAATTATTTGGCTGCAGGTTCCTTGGCCTTCAGGCCCTGGAGTGGGACCTGAACTTGGAGACCTGGTTCAGAAGCAGAGGTGGTAACTACCGCGCCACAAAACCTCTTTGTATGCTAGTATCGAGACTCAGATGTGGGACCAAAACAAATTGTAAACAGGGACAAACAGAGGTTGCGATTTAGGGAGGGAATTCCAGAGCTTAGTGGCGGAGCAGTGAAAATCATGAGGTTAGAGGAAAAGAATGTAACTGGCCTAGGCCAGGAATCTGATACAGGCAGTAATTTTATCTACCACATATCTGGGCCTGGCAACTACTTGGAGAGAAAATGGGAATCTTTTGTAAGAAAGAAGCTCTTGCAGTTGTGTAGCATTCTATTTTAAGAGAAGATGACGAGCTGTTTTTTTTTCAAAATAGGAACTTAATCTCCCCACACTGGTAAGGTTGGTGTTTATTGTTCAGTTATTTGAATCCTGGTGACTACTGCTGTGGGCTAGGTAGAGAAAAAGGAACTCGAGAGTTCCAGCGACATTGAAAATGCGATGACATATCTCCAAGTTGAAATGGTGTATGGGCTGGAAGGGAACTTGAGATGGTGCCCACTGTATATGCTCCCTCCCTCTGGTTGGGAGAGGTCGGGGGTTTGTAAGATGCTGCAGTGCCCCCAGTGCATAGTACACAGCACTGTCACTGTGTGTCCAGGGTGGAGGCATTGACTGTTTTAAGTGTAGGATGGGTTTCCGCTGCATTTGAACGTAGAAATTATTACAGGCATCTGCTAGTTGGCCTCTGGAACCTGCTCTGCTGCTTGACAAGATCGTGGCTGAACAGATTTCTTTCTAATTCATTCGCGGTATGCTGGTGTCATTGGCTGGGTCAGCATTTATTGCCCATTCCTAGGGCAGTTAAGAATCAACCACTTATTGGTGTGGGTCTGGAATCACATGTAGGCCAGGCTGAGTAAGATATCCTTCCCTAAAGGACATTAGTAAACCAAAATTGGTTTTTCCCCAAACAATCAGCAATGGTTGCATAGTCATCATTCCCCACCTCGAATTCAGACTTCATTATCTGCCATGGCAGGATTTGAGCTCAGGTCCCTAGGTTAATACTCCAGTGATAATACCACAAGACCATTGCCTCCCTATTGTGGGCCCAATTCCGTTATCCTGCCCACTCCCTGTAGCCATTAATACCCTGTCAATCAGAAACCCTTGTAAGGCAGCATCAGAAAATACTCCATCCTCTATTCTACAAGGAGGAGAATAACACATAAGAATGAGCCTCTGTTTTCCTCATCTCCATCTTAATTTTTTTGTCTAAAACTCTGTCCTCTAGTTCTAATCTCTCCCATAGTGGGGTGCATCCTTTTTAGCATCCAACCTGTCACACCCACTCAAGATCTTAATATAGAAAATAGGAGCAGGTGTAGGTCATTCGGCCCTTTAAGCCGGCTTCTGCCATTCAGTAAGATCATGACTGATCAACCAACCCAGTTCCCTGTTCCGGCTTTCACCTCAGACCCTTTGACCCCTTTATCCCTGAGGACTTTATATCTAACTCCTTCCTGAAAACATTTAATGTTTTGACTTCAACCGAGAATTCCACAGTCTCACCACTCTCTGAGTGAAGAAATTTTTCCTTTCAGTCTGAAACGACCTACCCCATATTCTTTGACCGTGTGACCCCCAGTCCTGTACTCCCTGGTCATTGGGGACATCCTTCCTGCGCTTACCCTGTCTTGCATGTTTCAATATCTCTCATTCTTCCAAACTGCAATGGGTACAGACCCAGCTGTCTCATTAAAACAATCCCCTCATCCCAGGAATCAACCTTCATTAAACTGCTTTTGGTACAATTATATCCTTTCTTAAGCAAGGAGACCAGAATTGTACATTGTACCCCAGATTGGGTTTCACCAATGCTCCGTACAATTGTAGAAAAAGAAATCCCTATTTTGATATTCTGTTTCCCTTGCAATAAAAATTTGATTTTCCTTCCTGCTCATTTGCTGTAGGAGTTGCAGGTAGACAGGGTAAAAAAGAAGGCATTTTGTATGCTTGGCTTTTGTTGGTCAGTGCATTGAGTATAGGAGTTGGGAGGTCATGTTGCGGCTGTACAGGACATTGGTTAGGCCACTTTTGGAATACTGCGTGCAGTTCTGGTCTCCCTGCTATAGGAAAGATGTTGTGAAACTTGAAGGGATTCAGAAAAGATTTAGAAGCACGTTGCCAGGGTTGGAACGTTTGAGCTTTGGGAGAGGCTGAATAGGCTGGGGCTATTTCCCTAGAGCATCGGAAGCTGAGCGGTGACCTTATAGAGGTTTATAAAATCATGATGGGCGTGGATAGGGTGAATAGACAAGGTCTTTACCCCAGGGTAAGGGAGTCCAAAACTGGAGGGCATAGGTTTTAAGGTGAGAGAGGAAAGATTTAAGAGGGACCCAAGGGGCAATGTTTTTCTGCAGAGGGTGATGCATGTATGGAATAAGCTGCCAGGGGAATTGAAGGCTGGTACAGTTACAACATTTTAAAGGCATCTGGATGGGTACATGAATATGAGGTCTTTAGAAGGATATGGGCCAAATGCTGGCAAATGGGACTAGATTGATTTAGGATATCTGGTTGGCATGGAAGTGTTGGACCGAAGGATTTGTTTCTGGGCTGTACACCTCTGACTCTGTGCCATACCTGCGTACTATGCACTACTCTGATTTGCACAGTGCTGTATTTCTTCAGTGTTAAAGTGAACAGGGCATATTCAGCCATACTCCAGACTTGTGGCTTGTAGCTGTTAGAGAGGGTTTAGTGAGTTAAGGAGGTGATTTGATGATGGTGACATCATTGAATGCGAGGGCAAGTGCTTGGACTCTCCTCTCATGGACCTTCGACTGAAGCAGTTGGTAGCACATGCATTTCTGAGGTTGTGGGGCCAAGGCTAGTTCAGAGACTTAAGTTACTCAGCCAACACCTGAGTTCAATTTCAGAAGTGCCTTCTTTCAGACCAAGCCCAATAACGTGAACACAATAGTTGCTATTTCAAAGTGACTATCAGGATCCTGGTGCGTATTGATGCTTTAGCCAACACCCAAAACAAATGTTTTAGTCATTATCTCCTTGTTGAACACAGGAGTTTATTGTGTGCAAATTGGTTGCCACGTTTCCTGTGTTATGACAGTAAATGCACCTCAATGCTTTATAGTTAAGGAAGCACTTTTAGAGACTTGAAGGCACAGCATAAATGCTAGTCCGATTTTTATTCTGAAAATAATAAATGCTGGAGACCACAGCGGTCAGGCAACATCTATGGAGACAGAGCAAGCTAACGTTTTGAGTCTAGATGACTCTTCATCAGAGCTGAAGTGAAGTGTGCAGGGGACAGCATTTATGCAAAAGGTTTGGTGGGATTTGGCTTGGGGTTGGTGGGCGTAGGGTGCTGGTGAAGAAAAGATGTTGATAGTTCAGATTGAGTGATCGGAATGTGAGAATGGCAGAACAATGGTGTATCTAAGTGCCAGACTGGAAGGGACAGTCCCACTGGGGTGGGGGGAGGGGAGAGGAGAGAGGAGAGAGGACATGGTGACAGAGAATGTAACAAGTAAAGCTAAAAGAAAAGGAAGAAATGGGAGCTGGTTCACAATTTGAAGGTGTTGAACTCAATATTAAGCCCAGAAGGCTGTAAAGTGCCTAGTCTGAAGATGAGATGTTGTTCCTCCAGTTTCTGCTGTGTTTCGCTGGAGCACTGCAGCATGCAGAGCAGGGACATGTGGGTATGTGAGCAGGACGCTGTGTTAAAATGACTC